TGTCCTTTACTATCCCTTATTGTAATGATATTTGTTGGTTTACTTTTATGTACCATTTTACAGCCTTCCTGATCCCTATTACCATGCAGGAAAAAAATTATTTCTTATTCATACCCTCATTTAATCATGTTGCTTTATCGAAATTCAGTTTTAGCTTCTGTCTCTGTCTCTCCTTTAACACATTTCATCATAATGACCCCAATTTCCCATCCACATCACTTTCTAATTTCCTAAAACTGTACTGTATTCAAACGTAATTCTTCCATCTGTTTAGCTCCACTTAAGGTAACCATAATGTGACAACTTTTTACATTTTTGTATACTGTATACCGATTTTTCTGTGTGTGATCACATATATATTGTCTTTGGTTGAAAGGCCTTGCACTAACCCCTGCAATTTGATTTATGATCTTTATTTCTTCTGCAGCTCTTTCTGTCCTAGATGTTATTTCTTTTCCTTTGCAACTAAAAATTATTAAGGACTTGCTTCTATCACGGTGTTTGATACCAGTCTAATATTTGATGCACAGAATTATAATGTCTAATTTCATAAGTCTAATTTGTTTCAAATTTCCTCTTCGATTGTGCTTGCGCAATTACTGCCTTGCTTCCTTAACTACTTATGCTAATGTTGCTTTCTTTCTGGCCACTTGTGTATGTGTTTACACATATGAATGTGTGGAGTTCGAAAGAATTTGGAAATCAATCAATCAATCAATGCCAATAGATATATATTTATTTTCTCGTTCGTTCATTCATTCATTTAGAACTGCCCGAAACGCTTTGCATAATAGTGGCTTTAGGCATTGTATGTACTAGCTCTATCTATAAATCCATCAAGTTTTGTATTTCACCTTGTATGAATAAATATTTGTATTTGTATTTGTATTCATTTCGCCACAAGATCAACTTGGGGAACGAATGCGACCGATAATCGGCGTGAAAGAAGTGGCTGATCCGAGACGACACGCAAGCCACGGTGCGGTGCTCACGCTATTTGGGATTCTTCAGAAACCATTAAGACAGGGAAGGTAAGTGTGATGTGGGGGCTGGGGGGAGGGAGGAGCTGCACCATGAAGGTCATTCTGTTAGGAAGGTGGTTGTTCTGTTGCTGTGGTGGTTGTGTTCTGTTGCTGTCGTGGTGGTGGTTGTGTTCTGTTGTTGTGGTGGTTGTGTTCTGTTGCTGTGGTGGTTGTTGTGTTCTGTTGCTGTGATGGTTGTTGTGTTCTGTTGCTGTGGTGGTTGTTGTGTTCTGTTGCTGTCGTGATGGTGGTTGTGTTCTGTTGTTGTGGTGGTTGTGTTCTGTTGCTGTGGTGGTTGTTGTGTTATGTTGCTGTGATGGTGGTGGTTGTATTCTGTTGCTGTGGTAGTTGTTCTACTCTTCTTCTGTGGTGGTGTTTGTGTTCTGTTGCTGTGGTGGTTGTACCCTGCTGCTTTGACCAAGCAACGCTCCCAGTTAGACTCGGGGGTATAGGTATTCGCAAGGCGACACAGTTAGCAGTGGGTGTAAGGGGTCCGTCTAATTACCACAAGCTACACAAAGCTTCCTGGCAATACGTTAGTAATGAACAAATTTGATAGGTTAGGCTGACCTAACCTATCCTAACCTAACCTAACCTAACCTAACTTAACCAAACCAAACCTAACCTAACCTAACCTAACCGACGCTTGGATCGTCGACTTGATTTGGCGTCACCAGCTTTTTATTTTCGCCTAATTTCTTTATAAAAATATACTTTTTCAGATTAAAATTATGTTTTTTCGTGTTGTACATTCAGCACCAACATTATAATGAGTAAATATATCATATTTATTCATTACTAACGTATTGCCAGGAAGCTTTGTGAAGCTTGTGTAGCTTGTGGTAATTAGACGGACCGGTCACAAGTGCGTACCTGCCATCTTGGTGGCCAGGGTTCAAGTCCCCTGGTGGGTGTTGTGTCTCTAAAAGTTTCTATACTTTCTGACTTGCGTGTTTAGGCAAGTGTGTGCATATATATATATATATATATATATATATATATATATATATATATATATATATATATATATATATATATATATATATATATATATATATATATATATATATATATATATATATATATATATATATATATATATATATATATATATATATATATATATATATATATATATATATATATATATATATATATATATATATATATATATATATATATATATATATATATATATATATATATATATATATATATATATATATAATATATATATATATATATATATATATATATATATATATATATATATATATATATATATATATATATATATATATATATATATATATATATATATATATATATATATAATATATATATATATATATATATATATATATATATATATATATATATATACGTATTTTAATTTGATTAGTATTATAAAGTATTAAATTCAAATGTGTGTAAGTGCTAGGCTAGCCACACTATTTTGACAAAAATTAGCCAGTGGGATTAAAATGTTGAGCACTTAGTTGTCAGAAAAAAATATTATTCGTGATTGACACTACATAATTATTCTCTGGAATTTCGATTCCTTTCATAAGGGAAAAGGATGTCATTCTCCGATACTGTTTTAGATACACAAGGACATTCGGCTGTTTATTTAGAGAAGAAATCCTCGTATAGAAACATTTGAGTCATTCGTGGAACTCTTCGCTCTGGCGACGAAAAACTATAAGGCCCTTTATTCTTAGGAACAACACTAATATTTTATGAATACTGTATCACGGATGATATCCGGGAGGTGGGCGTGGGTGCTGGACTCCACTTCCTGCCCTCCTCTCACTCACACTGGACCTCTGGTGACTAACACACATTTCTCTCTCTCTCTCTCTCTCTCTCTCTCTCTCTCTCTCTCTCTCTCTCTCTCTCTCTCTCTCTCTCTCTCTCTCTCTCTCTCTCTCTCTCTCACATCTAATTAAATTATTATTTTCCTATTTCACGTTGGTTCTTGCATTTCGAGGTAATTTTTTACTCTGTAAAAGTCTAAAGTTACTTTCATGTCTCCCCAAATTCATAGTTAGATCGTATAATAATTTAATAATTCAAATTAAACAAAATCAATGGAGTTTGAACCAAGCGGAATAATTGTCAGTTCCGGACCAACTGATCGGTTGCAGGACCAACCGGTTTGTGGTGGATATGTGGGCCTGCGGGCCGCTCCAAGCTACAGCCTAGTGGACCAAACTCTCACAAGTCAAGCCTGGCCTCGGGCCGGGCTTGGGGAGTAGAAGAACTCCCAGAACCCCATAACCAGGTAGTCCAACAATGATCGGTTATCTGAACCGGACAACCTAACAGCTGGTTGTATCCGGATATGTGGAAGTACCAACACAATATTTCAATGAAATATCAGTCATTGACCTCCGGTGTTGATGGTGGCGCCATCGTGTGATGAACACCGTTATTTATATGATAGAGAAGGTCCGCTTGTTTTTTTCTGTATGAGGTTTGAGGCCAGACGCTTGTGGCTAGTCTCTCCCAACTTTACAAAGTGAATGATCTGGGGTAAGGGATAGACATAAGCTAGTCGAAGTCGGTCTTGTTGGACCCATTAAAATGGGATCGGACCCTGTAATGTCCCCCTTTCCCCCCACACACACATAATCGGTGAAAGGTGGGTGGCCGAGTCCATACATTGTGTTACATTTTCTGAGACTGATAGATGTATGATTTTAAACTTTCCACCACTCCTCCCCCTCCCCCCACCATTAGGTAAGTGCGGGATGCATGACTAGTAAATTAACTATATGTAACTTGTTCACGATAAATGTTCAATGTAGAGATTATTGTGGTCCAGTTCTTGAACCAGTTGCCCTAAAAAAATCAACCCATCCTCCTGTTTTCGTAGTACTTATAGTAACGATGAGGACCATAGTGTATATACCAAAGTACAACGAAATTAGAAAGTAGAAATCAACGCTGTTGAGTTGGACAAACCGGAAAACTATTTTTTACTTATGTTGCAAAGACAAACTAAACTAACCTAACCTAACCTTCCTAGGTTAGGAAGCTTCATGTATACACTATACATGAAGCCTAATATAGTACACATGTGTGCTATACTAGGCATAGAGAAATATTTAAGTTAGTTTTTAGCTTCATTTTTTCCGACTATAAAGTGAATAGTACAAAGCTCTACTAATTGCTTAGAAAGACAATTTTTGTACTCTGGTGTACATAGTTACGAAAACTACTATCTAAACAGGAGAATGGATTGACAAAAGATTATTGATTTATATACATAAAGCTGTGTAACTAGGCTATCAAGATTGTAGCAGGATGGGTATAGGGTGATGAATATCAAATGCATTTGGGCACCGTTGAACGGAATTCAAGTGAACTCTGCCTTATGGCTTCCTCGTTGGACTCTAGCAAGATTGTGTTGACAACTTATTAGCCAAAAATGCTACTATTTAGAGCGACTATTTGTTGAACGTTCTTAAATGGACTGTTGCACCGCAAAAAAACACGAGAAACAGTCAGCAATCAAACTTAAACTTTCCTAGGCTACATATATGTGCTAAATTTTGCCTAAGATAATTAGGTCTGTACTACAGAACTACAGGACTAGCAACAGTAGTAATATAAGGTACAGTAGAAGTACAAGCTACTCTAACACTATTAACACAAGCTACAATAGTAGAACAAGTTACAATAGTAGAATAAGCTACAATAGTAGAACTACAATAGTACAAGCTACAATAGTAGAACAAGTTACAATAGTAGAATAAGCTACAATAGTAGAACTACAATAGTACAAGCTACAATAGTACAATAAGCTACAATAGTACAAGCTACATAAGCAATACCTTACCTTGCAATGATTTCGGGGCTCAAAGTCCCCGCGGTCCGGTCCCCGACCTCCTCCTGCTACTACCAACATTCCTGAAGCAAACCCCCGCACCCTTCCACCTCCCCCAGCAACAGGTTCCACCAGTATGCGTGCATGACGCATTCATATTACCAGGAACCACTCGACGGTGTGTCGGAGGGAGGCGGAGGAGCGCCCGGCGACCCCTGGAATATAACCCACCCGGCCCCGGCCCCTTCCGCCAGTGCTGCTCGGGACGCTCCAGGTGAGTGACTCTTTCTCGGCGTCTGTTAGCATCACTGTTGTTTTTCGGGCTCGCCATAGCCTGTGCTACATGGACACTTCGTTCTGAGTAGCTTGATGGGGTTCTCCGCTAGGCTGTTGCTTGGAGGGGCCCGCAGGCCCACATATCCACTACAGCCCGGTTGGTCCGGCACTCCTTGGAGGAAAGAATCTAGTTTGATCTTGAAGATGATCTTCCTGTGAGTGGTAGTTTATGGGATACGTCGTACTCATCATCCTGTGAGCGGTAGTTTATGGGTATCTCGTACTCATCATTCTGTGAGTGGTAGTTTATGGGGTTTCTCGTACTCATCATCCTGTGAGTGGTAGTTTATGGGGTACCTCGTATTCATCATCCTGTGAGTGGTAGTTTATGGGGTACCTCGTACTCATCATCCCGTGATTGGTAGTTTATGTGGTACCTCGTACTCATCTTCCTGTGAGCGGTAGTTTATGGGGTACCTCGTACTCATCTTCCTGTGAGCGGTAGTTTATGGGGTACCTCGTACTCGTCTTCCTGTGAGCGGTAGTTTATGGGGTACCTCGTACTCATCTTCCTGTGAGCGGTAGTTTATGGGGTACCTCGTACTCATCTTCCTGTGAGCGGTAGTTTATGGGGTACCTTGTACTCGTCTTCCTGTGAGCGGTAGTTTATGGGGTACCTCGTACTCATCTTCCTGTGAGCGGTAGTTTATGGGGTACCTCGTACTCATCTTCCTGTGAGCGGTAGTTTATGGGGTACCTCGTACTCGTCTTCCTGTGAGCGATAGTTTATGGGGTACCTCGTACTCATCTTCCTGTGAGCGGTAGTTTATGGGGTACCTCGTACTCATCATCCTGTGAGCGGTAGTTTATGGGGTACCTCGTACTCATCATCCTGTGAGCGGTAGTTTATGGGGTACCTCGTACTCGTCTTCCTGTGAGCGGTAGTTTATGGGGTACCTCGTACTCATCATCCTGTGAGCGGTAGTTTATTGTGCTCTTCATATTCATCCTCTGAGCAGTAGCGCAAAATGGCTTACAGAAAACATAAATGACTATCAGACCACAGCTATATTATACATCCCATTCACTAGACTTGCGTGTAGACGGTCCCCCCCACACACACGCACACGCAACTCTCACACGATTCGCGTGCATAAATACATTTAAATATATATTTGGCGGTAACGAAGTGTCGTCTATTTAATGCTGTGTGGTGTGTGGCTCAGAGGTTACAGTGTCACAAAATGAGTTCGCGTTCAGAACCCCGACTATATTTAAAATTAAGCTGAGACATGTATATTTGTAGTGAACTAGTCACCGTTAATGTTAATTTGCATATCATGCATCCCCACAGCCACCCAACGGGCGGAGGTGGAGAAAGTTTGACCGGCGCACCCACTACCCACCCAGCCCGTCCTCCTAAGGTCAAGAAATTGTCGTACTAAAGTGCCCTAATCCTTTACATGCCTGAGGACCCAAAACAAAATACCGGGACAGTGGCTTGCGAAATTGAATATTTCGCGGTCAATTATGTACCATTTTCCAGTACGTCAATTATATACGCGGTCGAAGATATAGCATTTTGTTGTACGACGATTTTTGGCCTTAGAGTATACGTCAAAATGCGGTGTTCTATTGGGAGGACGGATTGGTGAGACGCGCGCACACATCCCCAGGATGCAGGCTACCGCAGCTAACTTCCTGGTCCCAATTTATTGCTAGGTGAAAAGATGTATCAAGAAGAGGAAACTATGTAATTGTTTCCGTCTCGGCCAAGAATCGAACCCGGGCCCCTGGACTGAATCGTGGACGCTGACCACCACTCGGCCGCAATACCCTGTGTGTGTGTGTGTGTGTGTGTGTGTGTGTGTGTGTGTGTGTGTGTGTGTGTGTGTGTGTGTGTGTGTGTGTGTGTGTGTGTGTGTGTGTGTGTGTGTGTGTGTGTGTGTGTGTGTGTGTGTGTGTGTGTGTGTGTGTGTGTGTGTGTGTGTGTGTGTTATATTTACAATTCACATCAGCTGATGTCGACCCGGCATTCCTTAGGGCCTAGTTTCTCTGGTGACTTAGTTCATTGTGACGCCTGCACCCATCCTGTGAGCGGTGGTGGACTGAATACAAAAGTGCAGTACAGCCACCGTATCCGCATAGCTAAATAATTGACATCATTGATGAAACAGGTACAGTGTGTTAGTATATACATAAATAGTTTACAGTCAGGCGTAGCTAGCTTACTAGAGCCTCATACCATTATGCAACCATCCAGCGGATTACAGCTAGAATACAGTGGTATATAATGGGCTTAAACGCCTGCCATTTCTTGAGCATTTGTGGTAGTTGTATCTGAATTCATGTATATGCATTCATTCAGTTACATAGTGCCTCCTCTGCGGAGCAGGTTCAACGGAACAAAGTAAGCCTCCAATAAGTTCAGTAGAACTTCGGTTTCAACTCCTTTTTTTACCATGTCGTTGCTCAGTCGATTAAGGCAGCGTCTGGGATGCTCTCGGACACAGGTTCGAATCCTCGTCACGGCCCTTGTGGATTTGTTCAGGTTCAACGGGTCGCTCTTACCCACACGGGAACAACGCCCGCTACTGCCCCGAATGCAAATATACCAGGATGCGGGGGCAAACGGGAGTCCCTCTAATATGAATACGTGAATACTTTTGCTGATAAAATTTGCATTAGTTCAGAGCTACATCAGCAGGTGAGGAGGAGAGTATAGCGGGCTACATCTCTTAGGTGTGTATACACTGAGAGTTTACTTGAGTTGTTGACTCTCTTCAGGGCAAGTTTACTTCCTGAGTGGTCAGTAAACTGTTGTGGTGGCCTTAATAACCTTGTAGAGATTGATAGGCTTTTAAGTCCAACAGCAAATCCAGAAGGTATTGTCAAACTCCCAGAGGAATTTTTTAAGTCTGCTGATCTTACAGGATTACCCGTAGATATTTGCCTCTTCCTGCATAGTTCTAGATGGAATAGCTAGGACAACATTCACATTGTTTCAGATTCAAATTTCCTGATGTTCTCACTGTATCTTGGCCCTCGGGTGGTTCAAAGGAAGTCCAAGGGTGGTAATCAATGCCCTGTTTAAGATCAAAATGCTTTGGCTAACTCGCCATTTATATCACACGACCCCGACTTGGGACCAGTTTTAGCAAAAATCCTTTAGTTTAGTTGTGACCACGTGACCAGTTGGTCAAGTTACTGGCACAGGTAATACGAGGCTTCACCATGAGGTCTCGCGTTGATAGTTTGGTCGTGATCGCCAATACATACCTTCAGGCTTCGGTATATTGATTAGAATATATAAACATAAAGCCTCAAGAATATATAAACATAAAGGTAAAGCTTGTTTTGCTGCGTATATACTTTACTGTTGAGTTTATGTAAATCTAAACACTGAAGTTACAGTATAATGGCAGGTTAGAAATTAAGGTAAACTGTGGCTCTAATTATCCTGAAAATTAGCTTTAAATATTATATTTAAAACTAATTAACGAATCTTTTAGTATGAGATAATAATCCCCTTCAGTCACCGCGTCCGTTCCGCCCACCCCCTCCCCAATCCACCCCCTCCCCACTATTGTGACTCACACGGCCCACTCACCCACTCCATCCTCTCTGTACCAGGTACATCATCCCCCTATTTACCGCACTCACAAGACCATGACGCAGATGTGGGCGGCGCTGGTGGCGGCGGCAGGACTCTGGACCCTGGTCACTGCCCACAAGATAGAGCTTGGACGGTGTAAGTCACTACCGGAGGTCCGGAACTTCGACCCAGATAAGGTGAGGACCATTATCACCAACTTAGATTTGCTACGGCTACTGCAGGTAGATATAAATAGGAACAGCCTCGTATGGGCAACTAGGCCTTCTGCAATTTCATTATTATGTTAATCGCTTGCTTCTTACCCACGAGTGGAGCCATAACAAAGGTCCTACGGGCTCACCATAGCCCGTGTTACTTGGAACTGTTTGTTCCAAGTAGCGAATCATTAACAACAACAACATAACAAAGGTACGCATGTTTGTTGCAGTTCGCAGGTGTGTGGTACGTGGTGGAGTCGATGCTGGCCAGCAGCTCGTGCATGGTGCTGGTGTTCAACCGTACGGAGAACGGGTTCACGGTGCAGGACTCCAGGGAGCTCCTCATCGCAAAGACCATCGGGTTAGATCATGTCTGGAGAAGCACTGGCACCGTGGCTGTCTCTAGTAACCACTCTGCTAAGATGACGATGGATATGCCTTGGAGTGAGTATGGAGGATTGGTCTGTGTTTATAGTGGAAATGGAGTGGTATGTGTTTACAGTTTAAATGGAGTGGTTTGTGTTTACAATGGAAATGCAGTGGTCTGTGTTTGCTTGCCTTTGGGATAGAGTGGTCTGTCCTATCATGGGAGTGGTCTGTTTACCCTGGGAGTGGAGTGGTCTGTCCTATCATGGGAGTGGTCTGTTTACCCTGGGAGTGGAGTGGTCTGTGTTAGCTTTTGGAGTGGAATGGTTGGTATACCATGGGAGTGGAATAGTCTGTCTTTATCATGACGGTGGTCTGTGTTTTTCATGCAACTGGAATGAGTGTGGGAGAAGATGTAGTGGCCTGTTTACCATGGGAGTGAAGTGTCAGTGGTGAGCATGGAGTATGGAAAAGAATGACATGGTTATGGAGTGGGTCAGGATTATTTAATGCCTGTGGTGAGAGAGTGCATATGGTGTCATGGCTGTGAGAATCATTGCTGGAAAATATAAGCAAAACATATCGACAATTTCAGAGAACCCAGCTACCAGATTGAACCCTAATCTCTCTAATTGTGATAATCTCTGTTGCTTCTTTAAAAACTGAAAAGCTACACGCCCGGACCTTCTTTTTGGGGTTTACTTGGGTGGTAATAATAGGTCCAGAGTGAAGGAAAATGGAGAAAGAGAGAGAGAAAGGATAATGGTGTTTTGTACTTGTCAGAAAGTGACTTTTTCATATATTTACAGTAATTATTTTCTTAGTAACAAATGTACGTTCTTATATCAAGCAGAGCTCAGGTTCTGTTTTCTACCAGTGTAAGTCTTAATATTTGGCTGTGCATGACTTAGAAGTCTAGCCGTGCATATCGTGGCATGTGGTCCATATCCTGTACTGCCGTTCACAACTCATATCTTTACTATTCCTTCCCACCAGCTCCAAGATTCCTCACCACCTACCTGACGGTGGTGGACACTGACTACACTCAGTTCGCTGTCCTCTACGAGTGTACCACCATGCTCCTCGTCCGACGCTACACTGTCCGCATCTTGGGTCGCCAACCTACACTGGACGATGCTCTTATTGACCAGGTAGGTGTACTCACCTAGTTGTGCTTGCGGGGGTTGAGCTCTGGCTCACTGGTCCCGCCTCTCGACTATCCTCAACTGATGTACAGATTCCTGAGCCTACTGGGTTCTGTCATATCTACATTTGAAACTGTGTATGGAGTTTGTGTGTGTACTCCCCCTAATTGTACTCACCTAATTGTGAGTACAATTAGGTGAGTGCACACACACAACACACCATCTGTACATCAGTTGATTGACAGTTGAGAGACGGGACCAAAGAGCCAGAGCTCACTGGTGTGTGTGTGTGTGTGTGTGTGTGTGTGTGTGTGTGTGTGTGTGTGTGTGTGTGTGTGTGTGTGTGTGTGTGTGTGTGTGTACTCACCTAGAGAGTCTGCAAAAGAGAATTTACCTACTTTTTTCAGGCACCTTTATTTTCTGAAGTTGAATTTATACCATCTTGTTAGGTTAGGTTACTCAGTGCCACGTTCAGAACCAGTTAGATTACTCAGTGCCACGTACAGAGAACCTACTAAACTGAACGCATCATATTTTACACATGGCAGTAACAGGATTATGATTTTAGTTGCATTGAAATCTCTTAAGATAGACTGCACCTGGAGTGACACGTGACATTATAGCTGCATTTTAGAGTGTGCACGGTGAACTCTGGTTGACACTACAATTGTTATGTTTATGCTTAGTTATTACAGAAAACAATGAGAGCGTCTAATGACGAATTCCCTTTCAATGGTCAATGATAATTTCCTTCAGAAACGCTATTTAAAGTTACGGTCTCGTCATGAAAATGTGACATTTGTGTTAGGCTTTTGATTAGATTTATTTGTGTTTGTCACTTTGTTACTGTTATTAATTATCTGTGACTGCTAAGCTGTTTGAGATTACACCCTTAAGGGTCATCATTGTGACCTGGCTAAAGCCACCCATTCGAAAAAATCTCACCAGGTTTATATATAATTATACAAGATATTTTTTTAAACTAAATAAAAATTACTATCTCCCAAAAACTCAAATGAAATAAGAACGTTAGTCCCAGGAATTTATGAGGAGTCATGCTTCCCCATAACACTGACCATTCAGCTTACTAGCCGTCATCATGTTATAAATGAGAAGTACTTTACACACGAATATGTGTAAAAAATGTTCTTTTTTCGCAACCCATCCTCGACTCAAGTCCATTACATCCAGCGATCAACCCCACAGACGCATTCAAAAATGTTTACATGCTGTTCATTCAAAATGGGATTTTTGTCAAATATAAATTAATATTATAATATCATATTGTGCATATATAGGCATAGGTTAGGTTAGGTGTTTAGGTTCTGGTGGCAATTATTTGTATTTGTAGTACGTGGGCGAAGCATTTATAACGTTGTGGTTCGAACAGAATTCGTCAGTGAAGCATTTGTTGCGGAAGTGTTCGAACGAAATCAGTTGTGAGTCGTGTGTAAACCGTTTTTCATTCATAAACAGCTGGGGTTTGGCGGGTGCATGGAATCACTTTTTGGTCTTTGGAGGACGGGCTGGACTTACAACTAACGACGCTCGAGCTTCATTCAGTGTTTCACTTCCCCTGTTCGAAGCATGCTTCATAAAATGAAGCCGAACTTAACTTGGGTCTGTGCTAAACAGACAAACAAAATATATAAGAATATTAATGTGTATTTTATATATTTTATTATACCATTTACGAAATATTACAAATATTCCTTCGTGAACGGCCGCTGCATGGAATGATTTTTTCCTTTTTAGATGGCTAAGATATTACAAACTTCCGATTAATTATTACCCTTGTATTATTTATTTAGTTTTGGAAAAATATTTAAATATAGAAATATCACCATTTTGCTTTTAACTGAAAGGAACTTATAAAACTGACTGAAACTCTCCGAACACAGAAATAATTGGAACATTTAAGTGATCTTGCCAATCGAATTATTGTTGCCATGTTAACCTTGTTTTCTCTGTGTTTACAGTGGAAGGCAAAGTTGAAGGAGATGGAAATTAACCCCAGTTCTTTCAACAAAATTAACCATAACAACTGCAATAGGAAAGGTCAGGCCGATTTCGACATCAACGTCAGTGACAGCACCATTGGATTCAGCGAGTCTAACAACGGTACATTTGGAGACAGCGAACTGGACTATAGCGCCTTTGGAGGGAGCGGAGCTGAGAACATTACCAGCGATGTCACTGAGGCCAACAACGAGCTGGACAATGAGATTTAGAAACATGGTCTTGGTTCCGTAGTGGCAGTTGGAAGGTGTTTAGTGCTAGCCTCATCACCCACTCCTGGATCACGATACATTGGTGGTAGGTGTGATATTTCTCTCCATAAGCTAGGTTATAGTATCATATGGTGTGGAATTTGTGAATAGGCTGTTATGGGCATTATTCCTATAAATAAAATTAGGAACTGGTGTGTTTTAACACATTATTATACATCCTTGTCAGTTTTTTTTATCACAAAGATTTGTGCTGCATATAATCTTGTTGTTGCTGTTACTGTTCGTATGTTGTTACTTTGCATACTGTTGCTGTTACTGTTATTACTGTTGTTGGTGATGTTACTGTTACTGCCGCGTTTATAGTTCCCGTTGTTGGGGAAATTTCCTTCCGATAAATTTGTCATCTTTCCTCATTTATAGCGGCTTTGTCTGCATTTATTAAACAGTTTATGAACTCGTAAGCGCTACGAGGTTATTTGTAACAATAATAACCTTGGAATGTGAAGTTTCTAAGCTCGTAAACTGTTTAATAAATGTAAACATAACCGCCAGGATCGAGGGAAGATGTACCGGTTTCGTAAGGGGTTGTGCGAATGGTTGATAAATCTTGGACTTTGGCTTATCGAGGTTTCTCTAGACAAGAGGTATTCTACCTTTCCCCTCCCCGTAACCTTGACTAGTGTCAACTTGGTACTGTATCTATGTAGTGATGACTAAACAAATATGCAGAACAACATTCAGCTGTAAATAGCTTCAATAAATGGATAACTGCATAAGCATTTAAGTCTGTTTACATATAAGCAAACAGCAGTTGAAAAGAAAGTTATTGAACAATTTCACATTCTTGGCGTGCGGTCGAGTATTAATAAGTGCAAGACATATACTGGATTTTAGATATATCAAAAACATTTACCGCTCCAATCTGAAACAAACAGCAGCCTGTTGGACCAAGCTCCTGGCCCCTGGCCTTCCGTGGGGAGTAGAACAACTCTCAGAACCCCATCACACAGGTACCGAGTGATAGAGTATGTGTAGCACCTGGATTTTCTATAAATGCATTTCCTAAATAGCGGACGGGTAGGTTTATCGAGGCCCCCCCATAGGCCAAATTCTGATGACCTTCTCCACGATATGTAACAGCTGAGTAACGTCCAGGTATCTCTATTGTTGACAAGTGAATGACAAGGAATAAAGTAAATATATATATTTTTTTTTTTTGAGATATATACAAGAGTTGTTACATTCTTGTACATTTGTGCATTCTTGTGCATTTAGTGTATATATATACCGAGAAGCAGGTTAAACCACTGGTGCAGTCATCTGGAGGATAAACCCTTCGTGTAAACTTCACCTACTATCAAGAAGAAGAAACTACTTTGTATATATACATCCCTGTTTGTTCTGCAAAGTTAAATTGGATTCCTGTGAAGATGATTACTGTGCCAAGGGCCTGGTTGTAGTTATGAATCTTTTATAATACTACTAAGCTAACTGTACTGATTGATATGTTTTTATCAAACATACAATTGATGTTTTTATATATTACAAATTTGAGGTATATATATGCTTTTTAAATGAAACTTACGAAGCCATAAAGTGTTTGTAACTATACTTCTGTAGCAACTTTTTCATGATGGAGTAGTTTACTATAAAATAATTACGTTTTCTTTCTTAACAAAGAAAATGGCTAAATCGTAAGGGGTAAACTTGCACATAATCCAAATATTCCAGTGCAGATAATAAATTACAATAACGTACGGGGAAAATTAGACACCCAATTCAAATCTAAAAAATAAAATAATTGACGTTCGGTCCGTCCTGGACCATTATCAAGTTCAGTAATGGAAAGAAAGTGGGAAGGAAAGTGTGTTTATAAGGTAAGAGCGAGTTGAAAAGAATGATTTACCTGATTTTTTCTTTTTAACTTGAGGGGCACTGACACTTGGCCTCGACAAGGACAGGAATCCGGCGGCTTGTCGAAGGATTCCCCATTTGCCTTGATCTTTTTCCAGTTGGATTTTAAAACCTAGCAGAGTTTTGGTATTTGCAGCTTCGGCGGGTAGGCGTTTCCATGGGTTTATGGATGAGATATATATAGATTTTAAGAATTATGTGATTTATGAAAATATATGAATAATTTATACACAAAAAAATATACTAGATATAGACGAAAAACATATGTAAGCCCGACTCCATTTAAAAATTAAATTAGTGATAAACATATTTCTTGAAGTTCTGTCTACCTTTGCCAAGCCTAAAAATTTACTTAAAATGGTTGCCGCGTTCTCTGCAAGATTGGCGTTTGATCCATGAGAGTCCAAATGGATACAGCCTTCAGTTAGTGTAGTTTAGCCTGAAGCGTAAAGTCTGTGTACAAATATTTATCTAATATATAATGTATAAAATACATACAATATGTATGTATGTATGTATATAATAATATAACAGCCTGACGTATGACGTAATAATATTTACCTACAAGCTTCTATCGTGTTTAGATTAACAATTTCCAAGGTTAGAACAAAAACAATGTAGAAAAGTAGGCAACTATGCCATTGAAACCAAGGAAAAACCTGGCCGAGCAGTTACTAAGCACCAACTCTCCAGCTCAGATAATCAAAACAACGTTGTGTATGTTTAGAACAAACTAAGCCAATCTGAAATCAGTCCCTTGCTAACAATATATAAACATTAATTTTATTTTACATTTTCTAGTGACATAATTTAGCAGAGGTAAAAGGAATCTTCGTATTTTGATCGAAAATAATATTCCTGAGTTCCATTCGGGTCCTAGAGGAGCCCGGCGTCGGCCGAGTGGTCCCCAGCTGTGTTTGTTGATCAAGATTTTTGGATTTGGTGTTCATAGGACAGAGTGGACGACACGCGATTGAAAGTAATATTAAAAACAAACATGTGAGCAAGCATAATGCTGTGTTGTGTTGACATACGTAAGCTTAGTGTCTTAGTTTTTATTCAGTGATCGAGTGGTCATCTTGAAATTGGCTTTAAATGTGATATTTTAAATAAGTTTACTGATGTAATGACTCAAAAATTGCAAGGCTCACCTAGTGTGCTCACCTGCTGGACTGTCAACACTCTGGGTGTTCTGGTGAGTTTGTCGCCGCCCCTGTAAAGCTTTCTTCCTCATAAATACAAGCTTGCTTAATTAGACCAAATGTTGTTGCTTTAGATTCAGCTACTAGTGGTCCTTAATCTAACAGATAATTTTAAGTAGGTAAACTATCAGAATTAATAAAAATAACATACATTGCAAGAAAAAGAATGAGATGAGAGAGATTAGTAAGTATATTAAAGCACATTGGTATATTAAAGCTCTGATTACATTGACAGCTTGATTGGTAATTTAAACAAGATTAATTCACACCATACAGCAGATTGACAGCACATATAAGAAGACAGTAATGATCACAATGATAAAAATGTTCAAATTGGGTACATAAAGATTGGGAGATTGGGTAGCAATAGATAGTGTAATTTTAAGCAAAAGGTAAAAAACTATGAAGATGAAATTAGGTACTTTTTAGTATTGTTTTTGAATGACGCAAAAGTTGGACAGCTTTTCAATTCAATAGGGAGTGAGTTCCATAGACTGGGTGCCTTTATTTGCATAGTGTTTACACAGATTAAGGTTGACTCTGGGGATATCAAAGACATTTATTTCTGGTGTGATAATGGGTCCTATTACATCTGTCCAGGGAGAGTTTCAGAGCAGGATTTGCATTTAAGAACAGGGTTTTGTAAATGTAGTTGACAAGAGATTTTGTGGAGTGAGATTATGTTTAGCATGTTTAGGGAGTTAAACAAGGGGGCTGAGTGTTGTCTGAAAGCAGAATTTATTATTCTAATAGATTTTTGTTGGGTGATGATGGACTTGAGGTGGTTTGCAGTGGTTGAACCCCATGCACAGATACCATAATTAAGATAGGGATAAATTAGTGCATAATATAGAGATGAGAGCAGAGTTAGGTATATAATATCTGATTTTGGAGAGTATACCAACTGTTTTAGAGACTCTTAGTTATGTGTTGTATGTTGGTACTGAAGTTGAGTCTCTTGTCTAGGAATAGGCCGAGAAACTTTCCATCATTTTTATTGCTAATGTTTACATTGCCTATCTGAAGCTGAATTGCATTTGTAGATTTGCTTCCAAGTAAGATGTAGTAGGTCATTTCTATGTTAAGTGTTAGTTTGTTGGTTGACATCCATAAGTGGACTTTTTTTTAGTTCATTATTAACATTATTTAGTGTGTGTGGGTTGGGGTTAGAGTAGATGAGGGTAGTATCATCAGCAAACAAAATAGGTTTCAGAATGTTAGAGACATTAGGCAGATCATTGATGTATATAAGAAATAGGAGAGGTCCCAAAATGCTGCCCTGTGGCACTCCAACTACTATTGGTAAAGTGGGAGAGGTTATATTATTGATGGCTACACATTGGTGTCTATCACTAAGATAGGATTGGATATAGTCCAGTGTATGGCCTCGGATTCCATAATGATGGAGTTTACGTAAGAGGTAATTGTGATTAACAGTATCAAAGGCCTTTCTCAGGTCAATGAAGAGTCCAATCGGAAACTCATTTTTGGACTCATGACTCATCACTCATGAGTCGCCTGAAGGGTGTGGGCCTGTACCCCCTATGGATGAGGCTGATGTTTTTCCGGATCGTGTGTTGCCCGGTGACTTGCGGCCGGCCGTGGGCTCTACTGGGATGCCTCCTGCTGGGGCCGACAGTTCGGATGATCAGAGGCCTCTGTCCAAGCGTTCCCGGAGGGCTAGGAGTGTGTCGCCCCCTCGTGGGTGGGCTGCTGAGTGTGAAGTTGTGGAGGATGATGTGACGGAGGGGCCTGTGCGGCCTGCTGCTGGTGCCTCCCCTCCTTGGGAGGTTGCCCCTGGTGAGCATGACCTCGTGGTGGTCCTCACGAAACCTGTGCGCCGGCAGGCCTCTGATCCTGTGTCCGGTGGTAGAGGCCCTGGCAAATGTGCATTCCCTGTGGTTCCCCCTGGAGTGAAGAACCGTGTGACTATCAGTACGGACCTCAGTGGCTACCCTTGTCCGTCCCCTGATGCTCGTACCCCTCATGCTGCGCCCCTCCCTGTGGTATCGGCCAATGGAGTCCCGCTCGATGCGTCGCAGACTTTGGAACTTACTGTGGATTGTCGGGTGTATC